ATTTTAAAATTTGGTTCTCTTCTCTGAGCCTTGCTGTTACCCTGAACCACAGGCTTTGAACTTGAAGTCATTCAGATTCAATGAAGTGAGCAGAGGCAGCTGAGAGAATTGATAAAACTCTGTTTCCTCAGCATAAGATGAAGAAAAAGACTATTTGCCCCTCCAGGGTTGCTGCAGCCAGTGCTGAGCTAATTGCTAGCGTGCAGGGCCTGGCGCCAGCCACATCTGATGACAGGCTCTCTGTAAACGCTACTTCCTTCAGGCTTCCTGCACGCCTCTGAGGGTGTGTAGCTGGTCTGTTAATAGAGGGAAAATGAGCAAGACTCAGAAACGCTGCTTAGCTGGTAAAAACTTCAACTTGTCCATCCAGTCCTGCCTCAGGACTCCACAGGCTGCTACATTATACACTACAGGCATTTTGTAACATTTGAGGTCTTCTGGTTTGTTTGGTGGGTTTTTAATTTGTTTATGCTGCTTGTTTGCATACAAATCTGTACCTGTATCTACCAGACAACCCTCTCTAATGTTGCACCCTCACTCATGCTTTTTTCCTAATTCCTTCCTAGCACTTCTCTGAAATGGTCTTATTTACTTATATGTTGGCTTGATTATTGGCTATCTCCCCTAGAATGTCATCTCTATGAAGGCAGCAACTTTGCCTTGTTCACCACTTTGTCCACCATCCCTGGCTCAAAACAGGTACTCCAAAAATGTTTGCTGAATTCGAGAAGGAATGAGTGAATGCATGACCATGCACATGTGTGACTTCCAGAGGAAAGGGCAGGCAGGCGATGGGAGCTACAGCACGGAAGGACCAGAGCTAGTCCTTCTCTCCAGCATGAGCTCCCGCGGTGGCCCTCACCTGCTTTGCATTTGATCCTCCATCCTTCCCTTCTTTCTCTTTATAGTTTTTCTTTTCATATTTTTACTTGATCATTTAATTACAAAAGTAGTACTCATTATTTTTAAAAAATACAAAAGTATATAAAGTGAAGTAAAAATATAAAATCATCCCCCTCCTTCCAATTGCCTCTCTCCAAAAGAAACCACAGTTAACACCTGGATGTATGTCCTTCCAGTCTTTTTTTCTGCAGAAGAGGGGCTCTCTGCCTTTCCTTCCCCATCTCTCCCATGAAGACCTCACTGCTTAGTTCAGGAGACAACTGCTTCTTCACTCCTCTCCCCATTTCAAAGAAAGTGTCTCTGCATCCTGGGACTTCCAAGAAACACAGCCCCACAGCTTTCCACATTCATTCTGGTTTTTCTGCCTCCCCACCCGCTCTTCCCTCCAAAACAAACAAAACAAAACAAAACACACAACAGCACGGAGTGATTGGAAAACCTGAGAGCTCTGGAATCAGGTGGATCTGGGTGGTATCCATTGGCTCTCTCTGTGTCTCCGTTTCTTCACAGGTAAAAGGGGGAGGCATTACCCACAAGGTTGTGGCAAGGATTGAATGGACCAATGCAGGCACAGCCTGATGCCTACCGGCTGGCTCATGTTAATTCTCCTTTCTCCCTAGTCTCACTCCCTCTTACTGGACTTTCATTGTTTCCCTTTCATTTGGTTTAGCTACAGATGATGAACACCAAATTCCATTTTTTAATTTTTAAATATTAAATTATTCTTAGAGACTCCAACTTCATCATCTCCCCTCCCTTCTCTTGGCTGGGTTTAGTTGTCTTTCCTCACTTCCTCATCTCACCCATCAATGGTCTTGGGACCTGTTTAAAGAGGCCCAAGTAACCTGGCTGAGGATGGAGAAAAGGGGGGAACCAACAGTGGCCCCCTTTCCATGCAGCGAAGCCCAAGAATCCACTTCCTGTTTGTGGAGGCCAGGACCAAATCTCAAGAGCAGCAATAACATAACTGCCTGGCCCTCCGTCCAGCTGTCAGCCTGATGGCCGATCTCTTCCAATATCTGGCTTTCCTGAGGTTTGAAACTACAGAAAAGAATGTTGGCCCCACCCACACGGACTTCCCCTGTGCCCTCTTCTGCGTGGTGGTAGTGCCCACCCTTTCAGTGTAAACAGACCTGGAGGTGAAGTCCGACCCTCTTCCAAGAGATCTGCCCAGAGCTCAGATGGGAGGCAGGAAGCATCCCTTGCTGTCAATTGGAGTCGCCCAACTCTGGCTGGCTTCTGGCCTGGGAAGGGCAGATCAGAAAGAGAGCCCTTAATTTCCTGAGAAGCAAAATTAGAGTGCTTAGGAGATAATGATGCTGACTGGGGTGTAGTTCTCCACCACCCACTGAGAATGCCCAAGCTCTGTCTGTGCCAGAAGAAACAAAGAGCCATGGGGCACTTCTCTGTTATCAGCCTGAACACTCTCCCTGGACTGTCTCCATCTGCAGCCCAGATCAGGACAACTTTTGACATCTTGCTGACTCTAGAGCAAGAGTTCAGTGAGAAAGCAGCAGGGTGAGGTTGGGGTGCCATGGAGGAGCCGTAGAGACCGGCCAGGCCAGAGACAGGAACATGAAAAAACTGGAAGTCAATGACAGACTTAAGAACAAACAAAATAACATCTTTTTTGGAGTTAATGGACTTTTTTTTTTTTTTTTTTTTTTCCTTTTTGTCTTTTTTTCGTGATCGGCAACGGGATCGCAACCCTCGGTGTCACGCCCACATGAGGTTGGGGTGCCATGGAGGAGCCGTAGAGACCGGCCAGGCCAGAGACAGGAACATGAAAAAACTGGAAGTCAAGGACAGACTTAAGAACAAACAAAATAACATCTTTTTTGGAGTTAATGGACTTTTTTTTTTTTTTTTTTATCCTTTTTGTCTTTTTTTCGTGATCGGCAACGGGATCGCAACCCTCGGTGTCACGCCCACACCGCGCTCAACCAGTGAGCAGACTGGTCTCTATATGGGATCCAAACCCTCGGCGGGAGCGCTGCCCCCCTCCCAAGCGCCACCGCGCTCCCAAGCACTGCACTCTACCGAGTGCGCCACTGGGCCGGCCTGTTAATAGACTTTTGATAAGAGGCAAGGATGGGGTTTCTTTCTCTTTCAGATCTTGGATGGTGGGCTCCCTCAAGCCAAAAAGCAGGAGAATAGAAAGGAGGTAGGAGATGGAGGCGTCAGGAGCAGGAGGAGGGCCAGAGAGCAGGATGAAGGCAGAGCGAGTGGAGGTGGTCAGGAGGCAGGAAGCTGGCACAGACAAGGAAGCAGCCTTCAGGGGCCTCCCCCTGTGGGGCAGCTGCATGCACAAGGCTTACTTCAATGCCCAGCTGGATGATGGTGCAAAGTTGAGGATGACAGACCAAGGCAGAGCCAAGAGGGGTTGGGTAGCATTTGAGGATAAGGGAAGACCCCTGCCCTGGGCAGCCACTGAGGGTCTTCCTTGATGAGCACATGATCCCTCACCGATGGGGACCAGGAGGACAGACACCCATTGCATCAAGGCCCGGTTTTGCTCCCCGTCCCTCCACTCTGGTTTGGAAACACTTTTGTTCTTTCTCCTGGCAATCTCAAGCCCAAACTTTATCCTTTTCCCTATCCAATAAAAACTTCACCCCAGAACTTTCATCCAAGGAGATGAAAGTGACTTCTGCAGCAATAGAGTCAGCAGGTTCCTACAAGGGTGGGGCAGGGGTTTCCCTGGGCAAACAGCCAATTTTGAGGAACAAGAGGGCTGTTGGCTTCAAGAAGGAGACCAGTTTGGGTGGGTTCCCTTGACCTCTCTCTTGTCCGGCCTTTCAAACACTGGCTTCTCAGGATGAGGCAGCCCCAGAGGGAGTCAGCAGAATCAAGCCCCATCCCTGCTTGAGTTCTTCAGGAAGCAGTTAGCATTTGCCTCAGGGCCATGGGATGTCCCTGGGAGATTATATTAGCAGGCTCAACAGACCTGGGTAGTCATTGAATCCTCCAGCAGCAAAACTCCCTCCTGTAGGACTCCCTCCTGGGTAGACAGAGACCCTAAGAGTTTTATGACTTGTCACAGGTCAGCTAGGGACAATGGCAGTGTGTTGGGCTGCCCTGGGGTCCCACCATCTAGCCCCTGGGAGCTATTGAGGCACCAGACTGGGAGATGAGGGGTGGGCACTCCACTTTCACATCCTCAGACACGTGAGGGTAATAGAAGGCAAGAATGAACACTGCAGACTTTTCTTCCACTTCAAAGCTCAAGGGGAATGACTGGGTCTGGGAAAAGCAGAACCTGGACCCACTACTTGACCCTGGCTCTGTCAGGCAGCTATGGCAGGAGGACATGGGTGAATAGGACTGTGCCTTTTGGAGTATAGATATCTGGAATAAGAGGACAATCATAGGGGAGAGATGATCCTGGCTGTGGAGGTAGTAACAGAGAGGCCCACAGCCCTGGGTGCACCTAAATGCCAAGAGACAGGTCCTAAAACATAGACAAGCATCTGGAGGCACAGGAATGGGAACATGCATGCACACACTCACACAAACACACACACTCACCCACACAGGCACACACCATACATATGCACATGTGCACATGCCCACATGGGCATAAATACTCTGGCAGGCACATACTCACATAGGCACACACAAACATACACAAGCCCAAACACAGGCATACGTTCACATGGGCACAAATACTAAACAGGAGCACAATCAGAGGCACACCCCCACTGGCACAGATACACACTCACGCAGGCACATACATAGAGGCACACACAGGCAACACACGGGTATACAGGAACATGCACAGATACACAAACTCACACATACCCAGGCACCCACTAATGAATTACATGCACAGACACAGACATATCTGCATGTGCACACGGTGCTACACACATACACACACACAACACACACACATGCTTGCACACACGCACACACAAGCACACACCCCATAACTCAAACACAGCTGCCCAGGCCACTTGAGAGAGCTCTGGCCAGCTGCCCGGTGTAGTTCACCCTGGCCTGCAGCCTGGGCCCTCCCCCTGTCCTGCCCCGCCCCCATCTGGCTGTATAAATTCCCTTCCTTTGCTCCTTCCCCAGTGCGGCCACCCTCTGACAACAACACAACGCTCCACCTCGCCTCCGCCCATTCCTGGCAAACACTTCAGGACCGAAGTGTACCAACAAGCAGCATGGGTAAGGAGGGGGGCTTCCAACAACTGCGCATTGCCCACCCTGGCCCACCCCTAGTTTGGAGGGGCCTCCCTCTAGGAAATGAGAGAAAACCGGGGGAGGGGGGCGGTTAAGGGACTGGACTCTGCACTATTGTCCCTACCCTGCACACACACACCGCCTACCCTACCTGCCGCCCCCGCCCCCATTTCCCAACTTAGCCAGTTTTAAAAAAAGGAGGGCAGAGGGACTGCTGGGAAGAGTGATCCTGGGCTCCCACCCAGCTTCATTCAGCAGGGGCCAGCGCCCTTTTCTCAGGCTTTCTGCAGCTGAAAAAATCAGGTGGGGGTTTCTTAGGGGGACCCTCTGTCCCAGGATCTCAATGTTGGAGACAGACAATCCTGATTTCAGCCCTGGGTCAATTTCTTACTGCAGGGGTAGAAAACCTAAGCCTTTGGTTCGGGTTACTCTCTAGCCACTCCACACAACCAATCCTTTGGGAGGGAAATCAGGGACCCTCACACTCTCACTGGGGACCTGTTTCAGTGCCCCCCCCAATCCCACAGTCCTCCTATCCCTCCATCTATGGGTTCCTGGATGTCAGGTTGAGGAGGAGTTTGGGTTTGGTTGGGCATGTTGAGGTCCTTGTTCCCTTGGAGCTGGCTCTTCCCCGAGCTGGCAGAATGCCCAGTAGCCAGCATGGCCTGAAAACCCAATTGAGCATTCCCTGGGTTCATCTCAAACCCAGAGATGCTCAGAGACTTTGCTTGAGATACTTAAGACAAGGGGTATTCCCCAGAAAGAAGAATGATGCTCCCTGCGACCTGAGTGCCAGGAAGGGCCTGACCCTAAGAAAGGCAGGGAGGTAGAGGCTCTGTGGGGCTGATGCTGTGGAATGGGCAACACCTCCTTCACCTCTTTACTTCTCTCTCAGTCTCTCTTGGCCTTTGTAGTTTTTGTATCTCTGTATTGATGCCTTACAGTTTTTGAACCTCCTTCTCCTTCTGTGTCTAGCAACCTCCTTCCCCTCCCCCTGGCATCCTGTGCCAAGCATCGGCACTACTTGATTGTGGAGACTCAGGAATTCCTCTCTCTCTCACCCTGCCCCACCCGCCCCCCAGCCCTCTCTCTGCCATCAGGCACTGCCTGGCATTCTTTCCCTCCTCTGGCACAGCCCTAGCACACTAACACACTTCACCTCGATGAAAGTACTTTTGAATACATTGTATGTGCCCATATTTATACTACACTTCTCTTTTATGAAAGTACTTTTGAATACATTGCCTTATCTGACCTTCACATCTACCTAAAGAAGTAGGTAGGATATTATTATTGCCCCCTTTTAGCAAAGGAAGGGGAGAAAATGGATAGAGTAGGTGTCAAACCTAGAACTTGAAACTGGGTTTCCGGACCCTACGATGCTGTTCCTAAGTCACTGGGCTGCTACAAGTGGGGTCCCAGGCACCAGTGGAGGCTCGACTCTGGCTACTCATCGCTCCCCATTTGCGGCCCACACTGGCCACAGGACAGGGCAGGAGGCGGTGCCCAGTCTTGTGAACTCCACTCCAGGATTTCTTTCAGCCTGCAGCTCCATCTGTGTTATTCCTCAGCTCTTCCTCCCAGGCAGCACCCAAACCCTGAAGCTGGGGTCCTGGCAGCTGTGACACTTCAGCCCTCCTTCCCAGTCAGCTGATCTTCAGCTGACTAGATCAGAGTGGCCTCTCTTGCCAGACTTCTGGGACAGGGAGGGCCACTCTCTGCAGCTCTGGCGGGTGGGCCTCTGAGCTCTTCCGAGTTGGGCCAAACACCTTACTTAGAGGTAAAAGAAGTGAGGTCCACCCAGGGGTAGAAACCAGCCTAAGAACATTCAGCTGGTAACAGCCCAGGCAACCTTGAACTCTAGCTTCCTTGGCTCCTCTCGGTGACCAGACCCTTGGTTATGTAATCCAGGCCCTGTCCAGCAGCCTGGGATCAGGACCCGGAGGAGAGAAAAACAGGAAGTGTCCTAGACCCTGGTCTAGGTACATTTCAGTGAAGGGAGCTGAGCAGGCACCACCCCCACTCCCTGAGAGCTGTTCCTCAAGAACAGCCAGGGTTTATTGGGCTTCTACCAAGCAAGCGCAAAGCTGCACATTTGACTGCACCTTCCTATTTATTTCTCATAAAAAACCATTGTGGTGTTCTTATTATCCCCTTTTTACAGATGCTGTGAAAACTGAGGCCAGAGAGGTTAAATAATTTGCCCAAGCTCCCATGGCTAGTCAGTGGTGGGCTAAGGTTGGAACCCAAGTCAGTGTCATAACCACTACACCACACAGCCTCTTCTGCACTCACCCTACTCTCGCCCACCCCCGGGCCCTACTGGAGTGTCTGTCCACCTTCAGGTCGTGTCTCTCCAGCTCTTCCTGCCACACCCTCACACTTGTCAGAGCTCTGAGGGGATGGGGAGGATAGGCCAGAGCAATAGGGCTGGAGTGGTGACCTGGGACAGCAGGGTGTCTGCCCTGGCTTGCCAGGGTATGTGTTGCAAGCTTTAGGGAGGGAGCCTTCACCCTCCAAAGGGTGCTCCAGCCAACATGCCCCATTGTGTTTCCGCAGCTACAAAATGTGGGAAGTGTGGACCCGGCTACCCTACCCCTCTGGAGGCCATGAAAGGTAATTGCCCAATGTCTGGGAGCCAGCACCCCTCTACTGATTCTGCGGCCGATGGGTTTGGGGGACGTCAAGCTGGCCTCCACCCTCTAGTACACCTAGCTCTGCCCCTGCAATTCTCCCTGCCCCATCATCCTTGATGCCTGTTTTCTACCCTCCAGGACCCCGGGAGGAGATTGTCTACCTGCCCTGTATTTACCGAAATACGGGCATTGAGGCTCCGGATTATCTGGCCACTGTGGACATTGACCCCAAGTCTCCCCAGTATTGCCAGGTGAGGCAGGGCTTGGGCACCAGCATCCTCTTAGACCCCTCCTCTAGCCCTGGCCCCAATGCTGCCCTTCTCCAGCTCCTTCTTCGCCCTCCCTGGGTATGGTTGTGCAGGCTGTTCACTGCACAAGGGTGCCCCCATGGGATGAGGGGAGTGCTGAAATCCAGTCTGTGCTGTGCTGCCAAGCTGAAATGGAGGGAGGGGTGCTTTTCCAAAAGCACACAGAGGTGTTGCCTGGGCGAGCACCACCCTTGTCCACCCTCCCCTTCCTAGGTCATTCACCGGCTGCCCATGCCCAACCTGAAAGATGAGCTACATCACTCGGGATGGAACACCTGCAGCAGCTGCTTTGGTGACAGCACCAAGTCGCGCACCAAGCTGGTGCTGCCCAGTCTCATGTCTTCCCGCATCTATGTGGTGGACGTAGGCTCTGATCCCCGGGCACCGAAGCTGCACAAGGCATGTCCTCTGCCCTTGCCTGCTTGGAGACCCTACTGCACTGCTGTCCCAAGCAGCCTATAGGCAGGAAGCCACTCCTAAACCAGCTGCCTCCAGCTTTGTGCAGCATCTGGCTCAGCAGCAGGGAGGGAAGTTAGACTTCACAGGATAATTACCTAGGCATGCTAGGTTGTCACCATCCAGCACTGTGGCCCAGGACACCTGAGACAAGGGAGGAGGCTTCTTATTTTACTCTGAGATGGGGAGGGAGCAATATTTCCCCCCAACTCTTCGTGAGCTCAGGGCTTCCTGTAGGCAGGAGCGTCCAGCCTTTCCTCTCAACACTTTGTTCAGTACCCTCTTGATGCCAGGCACTCAATGTTTTGGCTGCTGGTGATACAGTGGACATTGGCATCAGTCCAACCCAGGAGAAGCTTATGGTCTTACAGAGCTGTGAGTGCCTTCAGGACAGACAGGGGGAGAAGTCAGTGCTTTCTCACTGGGGAGTTATTTGCAGTCTCTCTGACTTTCGCTTGATGCTCTGTAGACATTACCAGACAGAATCTTTGCCATATTCCTGCAAGGAGAGTTGTGTCCATGTTTCGAAGGAAAAGAGGACAGGGTCAGCAGATAGAAGTAGGGGAGTGTGGGGACAGGGAGTGGGGACTCCTGGCCCTGTAAGATTCTGAAGCCATTCCCCATCCCTCTCCAGGTCATCGAGCCCAAGGACATCCATGCCAAGTGCAACCTGAGCTATCCCCACACCAGCCACTGCCTGGCCAGTGGGGAGGTGATGATCAGCACCATGGGAGATCCCAAGGGCAATGGCAAAGGTACTTCCACAGCTATGAAATGTGGGAAGCATTTGTCTGTTGGGGGAGCAGATGCCATTCCTAGACTTAATAACACTTAGGAGTAGACATCTGGTGGTATTTGCAAAGATGTATCAAGGTTTCATAACATATTCAGCAAGAGAACAACATATTGGGCATTCATGTTGAATTACAAATAAATATAATCTGTCTATTCTATTAAAAAAAAAATGTAGTGAGCAGAATGGAGCTTAGACTCTGGGAGGAATCCCACTCTGAAAGTGAGTGCCAGAAGATCTCTTGGCTCAAGGGGAAAAGATTTTCCCCTATGTTCTGAGAAAGGGATCAAGTTGGTGGCAGGTTGGGACACCAGAGAAGAGCCCCGCCTTTCACCTGGCCAACTCTGGGTGGGACCCTTTGGACACCTGGATCTAAGGAGCTGACAAGCCCAGTAGGAGGAGAGGGCCCAGGCAATGGGCTTAGAGCCTCTTGGACATGCCTGGGGTGAGTCTCTACTGCCTCTACCTGTCACCCTACTTCCTTCCTTGCTCAGGGGGTTTCCTGCTCCTGGATGGGGACACATTTGAGGTGAAGGGGACATGGGAGCAGCCTGGGGGTACCGCACCATTGGGCTATGACTTCTGGTACCAGCCTCGACACAATGTTATGATCAGCACCGAATGGGCAGCTCCCAAGGTCTTCCAAGATGGCTTCAACCCTGCTGATGTGGAGGCAGGTGAGGATCCCCTCATGGGCCAGCAGGAGCTTTGGGCTTTCTGCTCCAAAACCCCATGCCAAATCTCCAGGCCTCTTCCTTCCTTTATGTGGACCCCACACTCTCAGGTGATGGCAAAGGATGTGCTGGGTGCTCAGATTTGCTTTGCTCAAGCGTCTTCCTGATCTCTCCAACCCTCATTAGTGCCCCAGACTTTGCTCGCGCCCTCCTGCCCTGACCCTAAGCCCACCCTCCTTCCCCCACCCCAGGGCGGTATGGGAGCCACTTACATGTGTGGGACTGGCAACGCCACGAGATCGTGCAGACCGTGCCTCTAAAGAATGGGCTCATTCCCCTGGAGATCCGCTTCCTGCACAACCCGGCCGCTACCCAGGGCTTTGTGGGCTGTGCCCTCAGCTCCAACATCCAGCGCTTCTACAAGAATGAGGTACCCTGCGCCCTCCAGTCCTCCCTCCTAGCGGTCTTGTCAGCACCTCTGCCCAGCCTTCTTTATCGATGTCCCCTGGTTCCATCAGCTCAGGCTTCTCTAGGAACAAAAAATGAGCCACATGCCCTGCCTCTCTTCTCTCAGTGCTAGGCTAGTTTCCCCCTGAACCCTAACTGGCTATATTAATTCATTCATTCCAAAACTATTTCATGAGCTTCTACGTAAGACATGGTGCTATATGCTGGGAATGCAGTAGTGAAGCAGACAAGATCCTGCTTAAGGGGCTCACATGGAGTTACACCCTAGTGGCAAGAAGGTCCTATATCAACCATCTCCCTTCCAGGCTCTGGGCAGACCCATATTTGACCCTCAGCCCCCAATTCTGACAGGCTCACCTCTCTGCCTCTTAATCTCACCACTCCCCATCATAGGGAGGTACTTGGTCAGTGGAAAAGGTGATCCAGGTGCCCCCCAAGAAAGTGAAGGGCTGGATGCTGCCTGAAATGCCAGGTGAGTGTCTAGGGGAGGGCAGGTATCAGAAGGTTGATTCCTGGCCTGGGGAACAAGAGTTCTTAAAGCCTTTGAACCCACACACACCTCCCTCCCCAGCCCTGATCACTGACATCCTGCTGTCCCTGGATGACCGCTTCCTCTACTTTAGCAACTGGCTTCACGGGGACCTGCGGCAATATGACATCTCTGACCCGCAGAGGCCCCGCCTCACCGGACAGGTGCTGGCCCTGGAAGGATGAGGAGGAGGGAAGGAAGGAAGGAGAAGGGAGTCTGGGGATGGGGTAGAGGGTATGAAGTAGTGGGGGATGATAGGGAGGTGCAGGAATAGCAAAAATGTGGGCTGAGGGATAGTGCAGGCCCAGGGGAGCCATGGCTAGACATGGGGAACGGGTCTGAAAGGAGTGCAGGATTTGTGATGAGGCTGGATGCTCTTCCTGCAACAGCCACAATTCCCACCACTGTCCTCCTTTACCTCTGTACCTCCCACCTAGCTCTTCCTTGGGGGCAGCATTGTGAAGGGAGGCCCTGTGCAAGTGCTGGAAGACCAGGAGCTAAAATCCCAGCCAGAACCCATGGTGGTCAAGGTAAGGACCTATCCCCTTACTCACAGGCCGCCTTAGATCCAGGCTCAAGGAGTATCAGGGTGCAGCATCTGAGTATGCTCTTGAGGATCTGGGGGTGCTTATGATCTCTTACCCTGGGGTCTGACCCCTGGTTTTCCCAAGGGGAAACGGGTGGCTGGAGGCCCGCAGATGATCCAGCTTAGCCTAGACGGGAAGCGTCTCTACGTCACCACATCGCTGTACAGTGCCTGGGACAAACAGTTTTATCCTGACCTCATCAGGTGAGAAGTAGACTTGGGCTTGCTTCCCCAACCCTCCTCTCCCAGAGGGGTCATTTGGCCTTCTGAAGACTCCTCTGTGATCTCACCTGAGCCCCACCTTACAGATGGCCCATTCAGACCCCGCTCTTTCCTCAGGAACCCACCCCGTACACTCGCAAAATCTTGAGGTAAGAAGGTGGCCACGTCCCTTACCCCCTTCCCCTTTTCCTCCAGAGAAGGCTCTGTGATGCTGCAGATCGATGTAGACACAGTAAATGGAGGGTTGAAGTTGAACCCCAACTTCCTGGTGGACTTTGGAAAGGAGCCCCTTGGCCCAGCCTTGGCCCATGAGATCCGCTATCCTGGGGGCGACTGCAGCTCTGACATCTGGATCTGAAGTCCAGCCCTCATAGCTCCTACTCTCCATTCTGAGCCCTCACTCCTGCAGGGACTTGGCTTCACTCTGCTCTCTCTTGACCCCCGGCCCTTGGCTGCTTGTCCCACCAAAGCCAAACAGAGACTGTTGAAACACATTGAGCGGTACCTCCATTTACTGACTGCTGTTGCTTGTTGCTCACTGTGCTGTTTTTACATGAGCTCTTGGAAGCACCAAGAAATAAACTGGTGAAGCTATTCCTCAGATTGCCTTGTCTTTGGGGGTACAGGGCCTATGACTCCTCTTCTGCTAAAACTTTAAGTCTTTCTTAGTCAGGATCTCCAAAGAGACAGAATCAATAGGATATGTTATAAATATGTGATAGAGATGTATTAGGGGAATTAGCTCACACAATTGTGAAGAATAATCCCATGATAGGCCATCTGTAAACTGGATGCCGGTAGCGTAGCTCAGTCCAAGTCTGAAGGCCTCAAGCCAGGGAAGCTGATGGTGTCTTTGGTGTAAGTCCTGGAACCCAAAAGCTGAAGAGTCTGGAGCTCTGTTGTCCACAGACAGGAGAGAAGAGTGTATCCCAGCCCCAGCGGATCGAGAGAGAGAGATTCACCATTTTCCTCTGTCTTTTGTTCTCTCCAGACCCCCAGCAGACTGGAAGATTCCCACCCACATTGAGGGTGGGTCTTTCCCACCCAGTCCATTCAAACTCTCATACTAATCTCTGCTGGAAACACCCTCAGGGACACACCTGAAAAGATTGCTTTACCAGGTTTCTCAGCATTCCTTCATTTAACCAAGATGACATGTAGAATTAACCTTCACGGTATCTTACACGAGAAAGGGCTAAAGAGGTTTCCCGGGGGGTTACAGTGCCTATTTCACACCAGTGATTCCAACATGATGCTAATAATGCCCAAATCTCATTTTTATGGCCAGACAGAACCTGAAGGTTTGGGAGGTGATTGTCACAAGGAGACCTTGTGAGAGAATGGTGGATGGTGTTTCTAAACTTTTTTTTTTAATCTGTGCTTTCTTTTACTGAACCTAAAATCTCACCCACCACTCCCAGGAGAATTCAATGTGCCCCCTCACACACAGGAGACCCCCTAAAACTCTGATGTGGTTTTAGTGTAATCTATTTCCACTGCTGGTGACACTCCTGGGAGAACACACTCTTGGGAGACAACGTGTGTCACCTCCTACCTGGAAGGAACATGAGCATGCAGGACGACTGGGAACACCAAGGTGAACCAACCCAACAGACCAGGCCATGGCACTCTTGTCTCCTCACCTGGATGATGTTTTAGAACCTTGCCCAAGTCAGAGATGTCATCTTTCTCTGTGCTAGGTCTTTAATTCTTCACAAAAGGAATCTGACAGAAGTTTTGGGATCCTTAGAGACAGCAGTCAAGTGGTAATTCTATTGACTCCTTTAATCTCTACCCCAGACAATATTAAGCAACATTCAGGTATTGACCTACATTATTTTAGTCTTCTGCAAAGGTGTCTTTGTTTTCTTCTTTCTTTCTTTCTTTTTCTTTTTTTCTAAGCTATCTTTGTTTTAAACATGGGAGTAGTCTAAGACCTCCAGGATGGCCTGGCCACCCCAAGAAAGCACCACTCATTTTTTTTCGTACTTTTCACATGCTCCCTGAAACATCTGCCTCAACTGGAATCCTGATTGCCTCCCTCTGCCTTACCTGCCATCTGGGCCAGGTTATCATATCCTCTGGAAAGCCTCCTTCCCTGACCCCTCCAGGTCAGGGGCCCTTCTTAACACCTACAAAGCCTCTTGTACTTAACCTCATCATGAACACATGTCTCTTTCAACTGAAACTCCCTGTCTATTCCCAGCACCTAACTTGAATATTAGCACTTAGTATGCTTTAATGAATAAATGAATGTAGAGGAAATGCTCAAGATGAGTAAGGAATACAGGGGCCTTGGGATTTACTAGGTCTTACCAGAAGTTTCTCTCCTAGATCTCTGTCCTGTCCTCTTCAACAACCAAACTTCTTCAGAATGAGAAAGGATCATATAGTTCTACATCATTTCTATATCTTCCTGAAAGCTTAAAATTCCATTCAACAACAACAACAACAACAAAATTCCATTCAACAAGATGAACCTTAGGCACTTATCATACCAGAAAGCAAGGAAACTATTGAAGCAACTGGGGTTATGTCTACAAGATACGTGACATATCTGACAAGACTTGTATCTAGAATACAGGAAAACTCTCAAAACTCAACAGTAAAAAACAAAACAGTCCAATTAGAAAATGGGCAAAAGACATGAAAAGAGGTTTTACTATATAGAGAGGGTATGTATATGGTAAATAAATACATGAAAGATGGCCGGTATCATTAGTCATTAGGGAAATGTGAGTTAAAATCACAATGTGATATCACCACACACCTATCAGAATAGCTAAAATGAAAAATAGTGATAATGTGAAATGGTGAGAATGCAGAGAAACTGGATCATTCATACACTGCTGGTGGGAATGTAAAATAGCACAGTTACTCTGGAAAATATTTGGCAGTTCTTTGTAAAACTAAACATGCACTTACCATATGACCCAGAAATTGCACTGTTGGACATTTATCCCGGAGAACTGAAAACTTACATTCACATAAAACCTTGTACACAATTGCTCATAGAAGTTTACTGGTAATGGGCCGGCCCGGTGGCGCACTGCTATAGTGCGCCGCTTGGGAAGCGCGGCGGCGCTCCCGCCGAGGGTTCGGATCCCACATACAGACCGGCCGCTCACTGGCTGAGCGAGGGGTGGGAGCAATGCCGAGGGTTGCGATCCGTTGCCGGTCACGAAAAAAGACAAAAAGGAAAAAAAAAAAAAAAAGAAGTTTACTGGTAATAACCAAAAACTGGAAACAACCCAAATGTCCTTCAGTGTGTGAATTGTTAAACAAACTGTGGTATGTCCACACCATGGAATACTACTCAGCAATGAAAAAAAGATGAACTGTTGATACACACAACTTGGATGGACCTCAACGGAATTTTTTTTTTTTTTTTAAAGATGACTGGTAAGGGGATCTTAACCCTTGACTTGGTGTTGTCAGCACCACGCTCAGCCAGTGAGTGAACCGGCCATCCCTATATGGGATCCGAACCCGGGGCCTTGGCGTTATCAGCACCACACTCTCCCAAGTGAGCCACGGGCCGGCCCAAAAGGGAATTATGCTGAGTAAAAAAAGCCAGTCTCAAAAGTTACATGTAGTATGATTCCATTTATATAACGATCTTGAAATGACAAAATCATAGAATTGTTCAGATTCCCATATCAGCCAGCCACCAAAAAAAAAAAAAAAAAAGGGTAATAGAATTGGAGGACAAATTAGTGGTTTCCAGTGGTTAGGGATGAGAGTTGGGTGGTGAGGTGCATGTGGCTATAAAAGGGTAGAATGAGGGACCCCTGTGGTGATGAAACTGTTCTGTATCTTGACCACGGTGGTGGTTACACAAATCTATGAGGTGATAAAATTACGTAGAACTAAATATACACACAAATGAGTGTGTAAAACTGGTGAAATCTGAATTAGTGGATTGTATCAATGTCAATTTCTTGATTGTTATATTGTACTATGGTTATAAAAGATGTACCTTTGGGAGAAACTGGGTGAGGTACATGAGATCACTCTGTATCACATCTTGCAACTCTGTGTGAAATCTACAATTATCTCAAAATAAAAAGTAACAGAGGTGTCAACTTGCAGGACATCCACCAGCCAAAGATGGAACAAGTTGGTTATCAAAAACAGCAATAATTGAAATGGATCGAAATACATCAAGTATGTTAAAATCTGGAAGTTTGTGATGACACACATATAAAACCCTAATTGGTCATGTTTGGAAGATGCCAGGATACTGTCTCATTATTCTGAAAACTATAAAATAAAGAGAAAGAATCAAGTATTCATCTTGCTTGTCCTGGGAAACTTGCCTCAGGATAATGAAGTAGTCGATGAGGAAAAGTTCTTTGTAGAATTCCAGGTAGTAAATTCAGAGGGAATGATAGAAATTGAATAGCACCAATTTGTAATCTCTAACAACAAATGGATCTAGGCAATGATCATCAATGGCTGCTAAAACCATTAAGTAAAAGACTGGAATGGAACCTTGTAACAGATAGATCGGACTGACAAACCTGAACCCATCAGTCAATCTTTACATCACAAAAGGAGGGACAACCAGATATTATGTGCTGTACCCTGATGCAATAGGAAGTACACAAGGTCACCTATGAAGGGTTCTTGTCAAAAAATCTAAGTGAATCTGATCAAGCCTCTAAATCTCACAGTTTACAGGAGACAGAAGAACAAGTTTGAAAACACTATAAAGATGTAATAATAAAAATCCAGAGTATGGGAAATCCTATAGAGCAAATGACCTGTTTTCTCAACAAATAAATTGACAGAGACAAAAAGGGTCTATAGATTAGAAAGATTTAAGAAACACATTAACCAAAACCAAATGCAATGCAATGTGTGGCCTTTATTGATCCTGAGTTGAACCTATCAACAGAAAACCACATTTTCCTAGAAAACTGGAGAAATTTGAACACTGACTGGATGTTCGATGACACTGAAAAACTATTTTTAATTTTTTAGGTTTGATAATAGTGGAAGAAAGTGAGCCGAGATGCCAGGTACCATTCGAGCTTTATTAAAGGAAAAGAATCTGCCGGGCTGCCCTCAAAATGGGGAACAGCACCAGGTGTGGGGGTGTGAGAGCTTATATAGGGCACCAAGGGCTGGCTGATACCATCAAGGAGGGTCATGATGCTGATGTGGAAACTACGCAACCAGGGTGGAGAACTGCACCTTTGTGGAAGCAAAAGGGTTTTTGTTTAGGTCACAAGGCTTCTCGTGAAGGGAAGCGGGGAGGGGTTTGGTGCTGGAATGGAAGACAAGGCTGGCGGCTATTTTATGCTTATTGTGTGCACAATGGCGCCAGTCACGTCCAAAATCCATCATTCCCACCTTTTAAGTATAAAGAGAAGGAAAAAGGGGCAAAGGTCTCGTTCTTCTTTTTTTTTTTTTTTTTCCTTTTTGTCTTTTTTACTGACTGGTAACGGGATCGCAATCCTCGGTGTTGCGCCCGCACCGCGCTCAGCCGGGCAGGCCCAGGTCTCGTTCTTCTGAAGCTACTTCCTGCTGGAGATGGCCGAAGATATGGAAAAAATAAAAGATTTATGTTGGCGGGTAAAACAATTAGGTAGCAGG